ATTTTGTTAATTAATGACGATGTGGATATTGATCCTCATTCCATTAATATTAATATACGAATCGGAAAATTTGAATAATTTCATTGTTGGAGCATTGGCATAATATGGACCTTCCTCTGGGGTAAACCAGATTACTTAAAAATTTTGAAATTTTAGACGTTTGGAAACATAAAATTTACGAATTCTGGAATTTAAAACTTCTAAAATTTTCATTTTGGTAATCTGTAATATTGTAATTCTGATACTCAAATATTTCAAAATTTGAGCAATTATATTTTAAAGTTGTTATCATTAACATTATTTAATTTTTGTATCTTAAATTATCAATACCAATAATAATAAAGTAATTCCAAATGTTCCATTTCTTCTCATTATCACAGTGTTAATCATTAATTACTCGAGGACTCAAGATCGTTAGTTTGAAAACCAAACAACCCCTAACACAATCAACCAAGTCAATTAGGAACGATTACCTTGATGTACCTTGACAGGATAGCTCATCAGTAAATGAGAAAAAATTACCGTGGTGATCTTCCAACATCGTACACCGACTTAATGGTAATTTATGCAGCCAACTAATTACCTCAATTTCCATCCCTCCTTCTAAAAACGATATTTCAATACGCTTTCGTGATCCTGCCCGAAAGAATTCACCTCCTCTTCCTATTTTCGCTAAGAAATACGTGGAAATAACCTTCTTTACGTTTGAAAGAGGGATGAATCGTTGTCTTTGAGGGGTAAATTTATTCCAGATACGATGAAACGTTGGACTGCGCCGGATTCACTTCGCACAAACCCTATTCCGATGGTTAAAATCTACGAGGCTCACGGCTGTTTCCATCGAAAATGGAAATCAAAGGTGTTACATATTCATGGATCGTTCGATGTTGCTCCCTGTAAATACGCACCCCTCTTTTCAACCCTTCGTACATGATTCTTTTCGCTTTGAACTTTCTAGCCATTCAGTGGTGCACAGTGTTTTATTTAACATTGATAAAAACAATTTTTCTCTTTCTATTCCGAATGGAAATATTTGATAAAAGATTGCATTGATACTACACTAGCGATTAAAAGAGGCTTCCCTACAAAAAATTAGAAGCTTCTTCCTGGGTTTTAGTGTTCCAGGGTTCCTAGTCCTTGCTTTGGAGAGTGAAGAACTTTGATTTTGCGAGGACATTTGGTGGAAATTCCGTACCCTATTCATTAACCTTTTTATTATACATTCTAATAAACTACACATATTCATTTACGATACCACATTATTCAACTAATAATTCTTAAATTTTTTAAGTGATAGTCATTTAAAGTTAACGCTCTCTAATATTTTACGGTTATTGTGAAAGTTTTCTATAATAATTCTAATAAATTATTATTATACACTCGTTTCCCGAGATTTGTAGAATCATCTATTAAAATTTTCCTTCTTGGAGGCATCATAAATTCCACCATTCGCTACTATCCTCGTTTATACTCTTTATGTAATGCAGTTTCAGAAGTAGATACATTAAGCGCAAAAAAATTTGCACGCTTTCAGAATCCTTTTGGCAGCTCGCCCAACGTTATCGCACTAACGTTTTTGATCGTGAAAGAACTCATTTCGTTAACCATTAAGTGGTTGTCAGGGATGTTTAAATCATGTTCACTTCGATTACACTCTTGAACGAACAAGCGTAAAAACGGAATAACTAATGATTGCCCTTGGTTTACCTTATGAGCGAATTTAAGGATGAAAAATATAAAGATGTTATTTCAAATTCAAAACTGAATTAATTGCGGAAATCTTTTAATCAATTTTGAGATCCTTTCTTCTCTTTTCTGAAAATAGTATAGAAACTCTTCTGAGATGAAATATAGCTACGGATAAAATTGATGTCAAATCATACTCGACAAAAATATACAAAGGGACAGAAATACGAATCAATTAATAAAGAATTTGTCAATAATATTGCAATCACCTAAATATCTAGATTAAATATCTCAAGCTTCACACCTGGACGATTTATCAACGAAAAAAATAAGTAATATCCTGGTGGCAATTCAGGCCGAGCTTCTCCTTGGAGACTCAAGAGGGTAGAAGTTCGGAAGCTCGTCGTGAACTCGTGTCTCGACAAATATTTGACCCGATCCGACCGATGCTAATACGGCAAAAGTCTCCAGCGGCTGGATAGAAAGTCGCTGGAGAAGCAACGTTCACGCTTCAAGACGTAAAAGCGAACCGCCGAGAACATGTCGAAGAGTTCGTGCTTGTATTCGTCGTCGATCGGCAAACTAGTTCGACGACGATTACGTGCGAGAAACTTGTCCGGCAGAAAGTTTTCGTGTTGATCGAATTTGACTTTGTGAATGGGACGGGTTTGTATGGGATTTGCTGGATCGTTGTTGCTTGTTCAATTAAGTTCTATAATTTCTAGCAGAACCAACACCGTGAATTATTGATAAACACTTTATAATAAAAATATTGCAAAAATGTAGTATGGGATGAATATAAAAAAAAATATTTGAATTTCATCATTTGTTGATTTTTCGAAATTTATACAATGGAGATGAGAAGAGAAACATTTGCGTACGAGGTGCGCAATGTTTTTGAGCTATCCAGTCAGAGAGGTTCGATTTTTATTCTGTTTGAAGCGAGTAAAATCGAGTAGCCTCTCTTCGTATTCATTTATTGGAGCCAGGCCAAACTATTACGTTATACACGGTGAATAAGGTAAATTGTTTGACCAGCTTACCCTTGCTGGGGCTTTTTCAACCGACGAAGTAGATTAGTTTGTTAGGTAGAAGCTCTCGTTCCATGTTATTTTTCAAGCTGTCGTTGCTCCACCGTTAATTAACAAAATATTAATCGCTACTCCCGAGCTAGCCTCCCCTTTCGACGCGCCACTTCGATCAGCTTCTTTTATTATATTATAAATCCTTCAATAATTTTTTCCCTATTTTTCAACCTTCAAAGACTAAGATACTGGTTATTTTCAGAATCTCAATTGATAATAAATAATTAATTAGATATCCTGAAGAATGTCGAGTCTTTTATTTCTAATCTTAATATTCTTTACAGGACGGGTACCCGATCAAACTCATGCGAAGGACAAACTTTTGGGCTCCCGAATCGAAAAAAATTCTCGACCTAAGCCCGATCCAAATTTTCGGGTATTCAAACACTTTTAATTTGTCTATTTTTTTGTCACCTTAGAAAATTTAAAACATCATTGCTAATTTATTCCGGTCACCCACAGCAAAAGGTGTCAAGGTCTCTATAGGAGAACCATGGTAGAAAGGGTTAATAATTCGAGGAATTAATTCCTGAAATTCTGATAAAGTTAACCCGGTGAAGGTGTGAATAGTTAACCAGGTCAATAACTTTGATAAAGTCTCTTATCAAAGACACCGATCGCCCTTTAAGCGCTTCTCTCGAAAGTGAAAAAAAAAACCCCGAAACACATCGATGCTGTTTTTTCCCCCCCGAAAAAAAGGCTGGTTCAAAGAGACACTACGAGTTCTCTATTTATATCGAGATCGCGCACGTGGGCGATGCATTGTTTAATCACAGTCGATTAAACGGGAGAGAGCATACCCTCGAGGGAGGGCCAGTGTCCTTAATGAATCGATTCGGACACGGCTGGGATCATTAATCTGTCGAATTCACTCAGCAGCCAAGCTGGAAAGCAAGGATCGATCGAACTGCGCGATCTCACGCTCCTGTAATTAACGCGATGTACCCTTCGAGGATCATAGGATCCTCGACTCGCGTGATTCCTTTATGAGCAAACACCGCGTGAATTAGCGAGCCAATTATGGTGTACGAGCCTCGTTCATCGTTATGCTATTGACATTAGAATCCTACACGAGGTGTGTGAATTCTGAGTCAAGGCGATGCTCAAGAGGAAAAAAACAAATTAGGGAAAGTGTAATGATGACACTAATCAAGAGGTTGCAAAAGAAAATTAAAAATTGCTATAATTATTTCCTGTTTGAATGGATGTATTGGAGTACATCATTATAGAGTAGGTACTTATGAACTCTACTTTTGAACTGGGTGAAAAGTGCATATTAGAGAACCTTCTCTGTGAAGTAATACCTCTATAGAAGTACTGTCCCTCTTCAGAATTCCTCTTATTGAGTTTCTTTGACCTCCATAACACAAATTCGTCCATGTATTTATGGAACACTTGGATTGGAATCAATCTTACTGTTTGACTTTAAAAATGAATAGAGGATTATCTAACTTCTTAATACCTTCCTAAAAATTTCAATGAATAATATAACTATAGAGTGGCCCCATAATCTGGATCTTAATACAGATAGACCTATGTAAGTACTCATGAAACTCTAATAAAAGAGTTCCCACTCTTTACCTCTAAAAATTAAAGAAATTTAATTATCTAATTCTAGACGATAGAGCTATAGAATGGCCCTATAAACTTGATCTAAATACAAATGAAACCCATATATGTTACTCATGAAACTCTAATGAAGGAGTTCCTACCCTTTGCCTCTGAATATTAAATAAATGGTTATCTAACCCTATGAAACCCAGCTAAATATATCTAAATGACAATAGAGCTTTAGAGCTATCTACACAGTCTTGATCCTAACACAATTGTATCCAAATACCCATAGAACTCTAATGAATTCTACTCTTTATCTTGAAAAATTAATTAAATGCCTACCTAACTCTATAAAACCTAGCTATAGAATGATCCCATAATCTTGATCCTAACAGAGGTGTATCTATCTACTCCTGTAACTCTAATAAATCCTACTCTTTGACACCAAAAATTGAATAAATGACTGTCTAATACTATGAAACCTTACTAAGGGATTCGATGAATAGAGTCACAGACTACCCCCATAGTCTTCATTCGTCACCATAAAGGTGGCCCAATAACAAGGCACCATCAAGCATTAAGATCGATGCGCGATAAAATCAGCCCGTCATGCGCAGACGGTCGGCGTCTAGCTCGAAGGAAAAAGTATTCTTTCAGAAAGGAAATTCAACTCACCAGACGAGGCAGGCTTCATCCTGGACTGGTAGCTGGAATCCCATAAGCAACGTCGAAAACACGTTCAGCTTCGATCTGTTCCCTGGATAACGCATTTTCCGATCTCCGACTGACAGATCCTGACACGATGCATCTTTCCAACAGAAAAGAGACAAAATTTTTATGATAACCATATAAATAAGAATAATTCTATTTCTTTGTCTGTTAATTTTCAACAAAAATTTTAGTCCTCTTTTGAGTTACGCGTTATTATTAAATTAAAATTAATTTTTAATCCAAAAGTATGAAAGTTTTATGGAGTGGGCTTTCAAAAAATTCTATTATTATCGGAGGTGCATATTGAAACGATGACGCGTGAAACATAAATGGAGCAGCCAGCATAGAAGCGGCGAGATTCTGAATAGTAGTCTTCTTGCGAATGACAGATCACGGGGCCCAGCATTTTGTCGCTTTCGTATCGATGATGAAATATGAGCCCGTTACGATCACTGGACACCACGTTTTTCGAGCTTCCAGCTATATTTTCCTCGTTACAGAACGTGGAACAGGTGAATTAGGACAATCCCACGATTTTTCATTGGAAAAAATAGATGTGCTCGTTTTTCGGCTCGGCCCCGTGTACCTACTGTCAAAATTCTGTTTCTATTACAAATGACTATAACAGTTGTATGACAGAAGACATTTACAACCAACCGAACCGAAACAAACCGAGCTGAATCGAATTTCTTTTTCTTACTTATTTTTCCTTTTACAAAAATTCTTAGAAAGTACGTAAATAGATCTTCCCTGAAGCATACCTTTTATCTTTCAAAGTATTGTATTTTCAAAGTATATTATGGCAGTGAATGAAGATCGTAACTATTATAATTATTTGTATGAATTTTAGAATTTTGAAATTTACAAATTTTCCTATATCTGTAATGAACTTAATTTGATAATGAATATTTGTTATCCCCTTATTTAATCTTAGTTTTTTATTAAAAATTACAAGTCCCAAAGTTTTCAATTTCTGATTTTTTTTTTTGAATAAAAAATATTTAAGGATTGTTCCATCTAAACTACTCGATATTCTAATATTCATGCGTTCCAACAGAACAAGCCTATCTGAAAACGTTCACCTCCTGTTCCCCCTCAAATATTCATTGGCTATCCGTTCGATTATGCAAATAATCGCTTGATTGCACGATTAATCGATACCGGGATCGGGGAAACCCGGATTATTTTGCCTCGTCGATGCCTGTCGAGTTCGAGGATACAAAACGCTTTCGAGATGCTTTAAGAGTATGCCTATTGTTTCGAAGGACACGTTTTCAAGCTTCCTCGAACGGGAACATCGACGATTGAATCGGGTCACTGGAATACCTTTGTCTTGATACTTCGTTGAGAAACTTTTACGATCGACTATTTCATCTTTTTCTCTTTTTTAATTTTCATGGAAACAACGCGTACCTTTCAATACCATCTATTTCTCCGATAAAAATCGTGGAGAATTAAATCCGTTCGTTAAAGAATGAAACGTTTGTTTTCATTTTATTCTATCACTGAAACAATTGATAAAATAAATAAATATTAAATAGATAAATTCAAAATATTAATCCATTGATTTTGTTAAATTTTTTAAAATATCTCAATTTACTTAAATTCCTCATAAATCCATAAATTACCTCTGAAGATAATAATATTATTCAATTCAATACAAAATGCCCCCGAGTAATCGTGAAGAAGAGTAAAGAGGAAACTAATTAAAAATTCATTGAAAAACGTGCGATGGTGGGCCATTTTGCACATGTGGCCACTCGACTAGTTTTAATGCGACCGACAAGTGACGTCTTAAGGGCTTGTCGGCTGCTTGAGTGTCATGGAAACCACTGTTACCCTCTGCCTGTTTTTCGTGTGTGTTTATGCATGTGTTGTTGCAACCAAACAGCTGGTACTCTTTTCGTCATAAATAAACTTACAAACTCATGCTCTCTTGTCATTCACAACAGAGAAAATTTCAACTTAAAAATTAAGTAATTTAATAAGTTAAAATTTTAGGGGTTAAACAATAGAACGTTAGATAATTCCAAAGTTATTTTAAACGATTAACAACGTAGGAACAGTATTATTCGAGGATCGTTGCAGTTGGCTGGAAACGAAGAGGATTGTAATAAGCGGAATTCGAATAGCGGCCGATCAAAGGTAATTCTAATTCACAAATTACAAGCGGCTACAGCCTCCAGGTACGAAAAGATGTCGGTTTTAAAGCCACCACCGGCTCCACAGAATTAATTCATTAAACCCACGGAGACGATGGGAACGAAATTAGACGGAATTAATTCAACAAATTACACCGCTCTCTCGTCGTTCAAGCGAATTGATTATCCGTAGATCTCTCCGACTTTTCCCGAACTGGAGAACTCTCTGAGAGCTGCTTCGCGGAAAACGTGTAAATCTCGTTAACGTCTCATTTTTATTCTCTTCGCTTCGTTATAAATTGTATTATTACATTATTAAAATTTAGTCGATTTCAAATTAATAAAAAGCTTGATTAAGAAATATCTTATGCTGTTATAATTAATTCCATTCATTTTCTGTATGGATAAAGAAAAATTAAGATGACTATAGTACCATAAATCCTAGTAACTAATGACTAGACTACGAAAGTTCATGCAAATGCATATTTTAGAGAAATGGATGAAACGAATGTTTTATAATTGGAAGATTTCTAGAATATAATTTTTCATTTTGCATATTTTACATATTGCATACATCGTGCATTTCACTGCATTTCGTAACTGCATAAACTTCCGTGGTCTACTAATGACTATAATATCCTGTAGTAAATCATCTTAATCATTTGATGAATGTCATCCTTGATGCACTATATGTCATCCTTGATACACGGTAACACCCCTGTGATTGATGACTGCAGCGACCCTTAGCACATAAGGAGCTGTCAGTACTCTATAATTATAGTCATTCTTAATGTACAGTGAACCTGCAGTGATGGATGATTATAGTCACCCTTAGAATACCATAACTTCCAAATAACAGATGACTATAACCATCCTTAGAATACCATAAACTTCCAATAACAGATAACTATATATACAGTCACCCTGAGAGCACAATAAATTCCAAATAACAAAAGACCATAATCACCCTTACAACACTCTGAGCTGTTAATGATAAATGACTACGATTAACCTTATAACTCGATAAGTTTTTATTAATAAGCGACTACGAAGCATCTTTAATAATGAAAGGATTCTTATTGAATTGAAAATTCACTAATAAATGTATAAACTGTTTGAGGGCTGAATTTCATAGAAGTCTTGACGATTTTAAGGGAAAAGAAACGAGTAAGTTTCTTTCTGGAAAATTAGTTATGCTTGATGAATAAAAGAAAGCGTTGGGTAATGAGCGAATTTGCAATTCACCAAGTCTCAAAGCTCGTTCTTAGACGAGCGGATAGAAGCGAAAAAGATCGTAATTATGAGATGAGCGACGTTGCAAATCAGCTTCCGTGGAAAAGTTCGTCGAAAACTTTCGTTTGTCATGATAAATGAGATTCGAAGAGGATCGAATCGAAAAGATAGTTCAATAAATCATTCTGCTTACACTGTTTTAAATATTCAGTTTCAACTGTGAATGGGTCAATCAGGACCCAGGTTTTATTTCTTTTTTAGATTCATTTAAAACTCGGTTCCGTGATTGTTTTAAGGAATTCAGTTTACAAAAACAACCAAAACTTGCACTTCGCGAGCGGTGAAATCGGTAGAAAATCAATTACCCGTTAATGTATCGGAAATAATTGAATGGCTAAAGAGAAATTATACGAAACCCCTTGGATTGTAGAAATGCGTGAAAAGCGCATTCCCCGAATCGCTGAGTCGGAAAAAATGCGATCCGTTTCATGAATCCGCCGTACATTGACTGGTTAAACTGTTTCATGGTGAAGCGATTTTGTCGTCGTTGTTTCAACCAAACTACTATGTCCTCTTTTCCATTTTTTTATTTTTTGTAACACGCAGAATAGAAAAGCTTCCTCCGTGTGCTCGCGTCCGGTATTGATTTTTCTTGTAAACCGACGACCTGTGTGGAACTGTTCGTGAAATTTGAGAGTAAGATTTTTTGATATTTTTTCTAGGATTAAAAGAAACCATTTTGGTTCGATTTTATATTGAGAGAAAATGGTATTGACACTTTGAGTGCACCCACAAGTAGTATAAACTGTGATTGGTGCGACAGACGACATAATTTTTGTAACGTGCTTTAGATTTTTATTAGGACAATTAAATATAAATTATACTAGAGGAAATGGTGGTAATATGCCCCTTCTTCTTTTTTGAAAGAATAATTAAAAAAAAAAAGAAAACAATGTAATTCGGACTATTGTAATTTGTACATTAAAAATCTCGCGATATCCACAAAAATACAAAATACCTCTGATGATGGAAACAATCAATACAAACCACCAGCTACATGGCAAACGAGTACACCCCAGTGTTACTAACGACCACTTTTCCAATTTACATGCTTTTACGTCAGTTTGGATAAAACGGCAAGCAGGGTGACGCTCGCGAACATCGCGTTTCAATCGCAATTTCAAGGAACACGATCTCGTTCACGTTCCAACAATGTTACACGACGAAACGCGCGTCTCTTTTATCCGTGGTGCAAACGATTCGCTACGAACAAAGGACGATCACGAACAAACTTCCTGGCTGCGAAAACAGAACGGATCATTTGCACTCTAATCGGGATGAAATAAAGAGAAATCGATCGTGTCGCTCCGCCAACACCGCGTCGTCGAACAACGAACTGAGAAGGAAACGTGTCGTGGAATACAGTTTTTAGAACAAGAAATTAATTTATATCGTAAAATAAAATTGTTTTTCTTAGTATCTTAATTTTTAATTTTTCCTTCGTTCGAAAAGGGTTTTTAAATCCGTCCTTATCAAATGAACAACTTGACATTTTAATGCAAAATACAATATCGCATATACTATTTTTCCCAATTTATTTTTAGCTTTTCAATTAAAATGCAATTTACTGGAATGAAAATGTATAAAAAAAAAATGTTGGTTTATGAAAAAAAATGATATTGAAATATTAATTTTCACATTTTTTTGGATTAACACTGTATTG